AATACTAATCAATAAGAAAAATAAGGCCAATCATGTATAGTGTACTTCACGTATAGTGTATTAAGTTATATATAAAATACTAGTTTGAGAGAGAGAGAGAGAGAGAGAGAGAAAGAGAGCTATATATCTTAATTTAATAGTACAGTATTAGGAAATATTCTCGCGTAACAAATACCTTGAAAAAATCTCTTTGAACTGTCCCTTAAGCCATAGATACAGAGAATGTACATTATTTTCAGTGCATATATTATTATGTTTTATATGTAATCAAAGGATTTATAGCCGGGATTAGTGTCGAAACGAAATGTAAATTTTCGTTTCATTATTGACAGGTTTGAGTAATTACTTTGTGTATATCATATCGATGGCTAATTTTCTATGTATATTATTACCATCAAGGTAATATTTTAATTTCACTTTTAACTCTCTCTCTCTCTCTCTCTCTCTCTCTCTCTCTCTCTTACAGATAAACATAAGCAATAAATTGTGTAACAAAATAGTTATGAAATATTTATTTCAGCTGCAAAAAAATTCAGTGACATATATCTGAAAGCTAACTTCATAAAATAAAACTTTTTTGATATGGATTAATATTTGTATCATAATAAATATTGTCTACAGTACAATTATATAAATATCATTCGAGTCTAGAGTGGGGGTGGGGGTTATAGATGTGATGAGACTTATATAAAGTACATAATTACATAATTATCCTTGATTTTTTAAAAAAGATTTACCATGTATTGTTATGTTTTTGTTTAGTTTCAAGTGATTTTTACTACTCTGTAATTAAAAAACAATAAATCCTAAACATTTCAATACAACTAATTATAATAACATTAATAAATATAAATAAAATATTTTACGAGACTTTAATTAATTCATGCAATTATAGCCCACGATATGTGTGTATAATATTTCTCAATAGATATTTAAAAACTAATATTCAATATATTGTCTATCAATGAGAGAGAGAGAGAGAGAGAGAGAGAGAGAGATAAAAGTAAAATTAAATTTAATGTCTTTATAATGATATTTTTTAATTAATTTTATTTATTTATATTTTTTGCGATAATATTAATATTTAGCGTAAATAATCCACACATTTTTGTGTATTATATTTCCCTTTAATATCGTCACTAGTTTTACATTTATATATTTTTTGTAAGTTTTTCTGTGTATGAGAGAGAGAGAGAGAGATCTAGGTCAAAGTTGTCGCCAATACTCTCTCATATGATTTAATGAGAGGGAGAGAAACATTATTAATAAAATTAAATATACCTTTACTTAACTAGTCTTTCAGGTTATAAAAGTACAAGTGGTTTGACAATCAGGGGGTAATTCATGGGACCGGGAGATTTAGGTAATATATCAGGGTATTTAACAAATAACATATGATTATTTACAAAATAATAGATAAATCTGCATCTTACACTGTATATCATGGTAAATAATCTAATCCAATTGCAGCAAATAATTCATATTAATGTTTACCATTAATGATTATTAAAATGCTTTTAAAAAATGCGTCAAATATTTCGTTTGCAAACAAAAAATATTGTTTTATCTCTTTATCAGATCTGAGGAGGAATTTCCTGATGACCTGAAGATACCTGTGCTCTCTCTCTCTCTCTCTCTCTCTCTCTCTCATACACAGAAAAACTTACAAAAAATATATAAATGTAAAACTAGTGACGATATTAAAGGGAAATATAATACACAAAAATGTGTGGATTATTTACGCTAAAGAGAGACAACAAACTGTCAAACAAAATAAATGTCAAAAATCAACCAAAAGTATGACTCAAGTCATATCAATAATTGGAATCACTTGTCCGCTCAATTTTTTAAACACATGGTAATAATTTTTTAAAATTCATCTAGCTCAATATGAAACAAAATAGAAATCACTTACCAGTTGATGATATGGTAGAGAAGTATAGGCCGTATTGGAAAGCACGGTCCCAAATGAAAAACACGATAAACATGGTCGAAAAATACATTAAATACACGGTGTAATCGAATATAAAGTTTGACAACCAGTACAGCCGTATGCTTAGGCCGGTCATCAGTTGCAGTAGTTTTGCCTAGGTCATTTACAAACAATGTAAACAAGTTTACCAATGATGAATGTTTATAGTTAATATGATATTGTAATTATTATTTAATTAACTAGCTAGAATTAATTACCTTAGAGACCCGTTCGTGGGTCGGGAACAGCACATAGAATGCGGCGATGAATGAGACGGAAAACGGTATAAAAATACCTAGGTAAATTAAAAATATACAAAAATTACATCAGGCACAAATACACAAACAATATTCAATATATCGCATCACAAATTACTACATAATTAATTAACAACAACAAAAAATCTCTAACAACTAGAGTGAACATCAGTCGCAACCCTTTCCCCCGAACAACATATACAGTGCTTACTATTATAGACGCGACCAAAAAACGGCAGGAAAGCCGAGTGCGGGTTAAAATGTTCAAACGTTTCCTGATTGAGCCTGATGGCCACCTCGCCGGGCGCCACCAGGGTGCTATTAGACTCGGCCACCAATTTCTTGAGCAACGCGTTGTACAATATATTAACACTGATGGGCAAACTGTGGTGCGCTTCGCCGTTATACCAGGCCACGTACACATTACGATTACGGTACTTTTCCAGTGACGCCCCCACGAGCCACCTCTCTCGATAAATATTCAAATCTTTGACCGAGTCGTTGAGCAATTTTTCGGTAGGATCGCCACCTTTAAACTCGTACGCCTGGACACCCTCCGCGGCCGCTTCGGGCCTATAGTACTGGCCGTACGACTCGGGCAACTGTTCCAACTGGTAGTAAAAACCGTACAATTCGGGCGAATAACCGGCCGCTCGGGTGTTGAGGTCCAGTCGCCAGTTCGGTGTCTTATTAGTAGAGTTGACAGTGGTTTCAATGAGGCCGAGTACTGCAAAAACGCAACCAATGGCTATAGACATGATGGGCACGACTGTACGCGTGGAGCGTTTCATGTCGTGCACACGTTTGGCGATTAGTGCCCGGAGTTTAAGTAGAGTTAATTCGCGACGCGACTGTACTTTCGCCGACTGTGTTTCCGAGTACTTCTTGAATTCGTGGCCGTTATTGTTGGACACGTTATTGTTGTTGTTTAAGTGAATGCCGTTCTCTAATTGGACAGACTTTCGCGGCGCCATATGCTTTTTGTTGGCCTCGTTGTCGATCACCTAGGTGATGAATTTAATAATGATTTACTGATAATGATAAATTTAGTGATATGTGCGCGATATTGTTTAATTAGTTTGTTTAATTAATTTTAAATTATTTATATTTTATTTTTTAAATTTTATATAAATTGAATTTTTGGTTTTTTAATTATTTGAACATGCAATTTCAATTGTATGTATTTAATTAAGGGTAAACAAATATGTTGTGCAAGTCTGATTGTAATAAACAGCAGCTAATTAG